TCTAGAGAGACATTATCCATGTGAACAAAATTTTTATAAAATTGAAAACCCATGATCTCATAACCCATGGGTATCTTACAAACGAGAAAGGAACAAACCCAATCCAATTACATCTGATGACCATGCTGTTATAGCTTTAGCACATTTCGAAGAGAATCCGTTCTTCTATTCGTGCTATTGCTGCTGATACTGGATTATCTATCTCGTAATTCTATTAATAGAATTACAACAAAAGTGATTATCAGCCTTAAAAAATGAATAAAGTGGACCAATGGACCACGTCGTCAAAATTTTATAGCATGACTGGCTGATGCATATGAAAGTAATCCCGAAATATTGAATGACATTCTGTGGATAGATGAATGTAAATTTATAAATAATGGTATTATTAATCCACATAATTGTCATTTTTGGTCTAAAGATAATCCATACTGGTTTCAAGAAGATAATTTTCAAATCAAAGTTACAGTTAATGTTTGGTATGGGTTAGCACACGGCCATTTAAATGAACCTTACATTTATGAACAAAATTTAACGTCTGAGTGCTACTTAAATTTCCTTCGTTCTGCACTTCCAATGTTATTACGACTGCTTCCAAATAACGTTGTACAATGCATTTATTTCCAACAAGATCGTCCTCAGGCTCGGTGACACTTTAGACGTGGTGTGCCGACTAGGTGCTACTCGAAGGATCAGCTTCTTGTTGAAACACGAAGAAATGTTAATGTTGCATTTACTATATGGATAACAACGTGTGAAACTGTGATGTAATATCAAGTACAACATGAGTCTCTTTTCTAAGCAAAAATTGATTATAGTGGACAACGGTTCTGATGGATATCTCAACGGTTCAAAGTCTCTATGACGAAGATTCTAGTGTATCTGACGCCGTTTCGAATGTACCTGTTTCCGCTGTTTCTGGAACACGGAGACTCCGGTTGTGTTTTAAACATCCTGATTGGATTCCTACAATTTTCACAATCATCAAACAGTTTTTTCCGGTGCATTGAGACCTCCTCCCATTTCGCCCTTAGCGCGCTATCTTCAGGGTAGGGTGCACAAATGACCAGAGAAAGTAGTTGGTGGAGGGATGCATGGGAATCCCGTGGAGTCGTTGTGAGGCCTGGACCTTGTCACCGTAAAGTGGTTCACCGACGAAGCTAAAGGTTTAGAGCCACTTTCAATTTGGCCCATTGGAAACTCCAGAATTTATGGTATAGACATCACGGTCCTAGCGACTAGGATTGCAAGCAACGCACTAAACATCTATTGTTTATTCGAAACGAAAAATATAATAGTTGCCTGCAACACGGCGTGACAATTTGACACGATGCCATAAATACGGATACAAGATACGCCTAAGAACCGGGTGTCCACCTCATAATGCTCGGATTGTTCGTAAATATTTAAAGAGAAAATTCGTAGAACATTGGTTGGGAACTTATAGACCAATTTCCTATACATTCCGTCCCCCGGATTTGTCTCCAAAGGACTTTTCCCTATGAAGTTATTTACAATCCACAGTCTATGCTATTCCAATTTAAAACATACATTTACAGAAGAGAATCCGCATAGCATGTAAAGAGGTTCGTCGTGAGAGCAATATAGTGGCAACAAATGCAAATTTGTTTCATCGATCGAAGCTGTTTACAAAAAGTACCGCGACGTTGTACAACTTGTGTTGAATTGTTATACATTTTTTTTTTCTTTTTGTAATATGTGTATGGTTATTCGATTTGTTGTGATTCGTTCTAATAAAAAATACTATAATACTATATTATTATATTTAGAAAACGAAAGCTAACATTCATATCTTCGAAAAAAGTGTAGATATAAAAATATTAATTTACAAAAGTTAGACTTAAATATAGTTCAACTTTTGTTTAACACTATTTTTTGTAAAGTGCATGGAAAGCCCTGAAATTTCGTAGCGACACTTATGTGAGACACCCTGTATATGTATATATATCATATATATCAAGATATATATATATCAAGTAATTTACTTAAGTTTGAAACAGAAATTCCAACGGGTGTTACTTTTACTGCAACAATTAACTCGATCCATCAGTACCATTTAAATTTCACCTCATCCAAGAATCCACCTTCCCGATATTTCATTTTTCACTTTCTATGCATTCATGACTTGCGGTGACGGTATAATTTTCATTTGGCCTGCTTTGTTGTATAGTTACATTTGTCTAAAGTATATATGTAGAACAATTTTATAGCCTACATTAGATTTGTTATGTATTTCGTATTGTGATTACCAATTTACTTAATTATTTCAAATTTTAGCACTTCTACCACACTGAATTAGGTGAAATCTTTTATATCGAAAGAAGTCTCAGAACTTAACTACTTTATATGTTTCAGAAATACTACTTATTGTCTATGTTTAAACATAAATGATATTAATGCCAAGTGTTATTTAATGATTATGAATTTTACAAGTAATTAGTTTCAAGAAACCAAGTTCTAAGACCTTTCTAATTTTCTCATTCATTTGGGTTTTAAACTTTTTCTTCCTTTAATATTTTCTTCTGCGATGCAAATGCACATACTGTAAGTAGTTTGAAAAGAATAACATAATGAAAACAAATTAACTTAGTGTTAGTGGGGAAGATAGATGCGCGCGCACGCACACAGGGTGAGAGAGAGAGAGAGTGAGAGAGAAAGAGGGGGTGGGAGGTATGCGCGAATTTATAGTAAATAAATTTAAATACTCTTATAGAAGAAAGTAATAAAATTATGTAAATAAGATTCCTACAACATTGTTAAATTGTTCTTAATGGACAATTTATCATTAACATATATCTGTACAGGGTGTCTGTCAAGATTTCATACAAATTTTGTCAGTGTGTTCTGCGAGTAAATATAAGAAAAAAATGTTACATAAACATAGAGCCATAGGTGTTTCATTAGAAAGTTAGAATTAAAAAATGTAATATAAAGGAAACGGTAATGGTCTTCCTCTTATTGTTAGTGTGATACAAGGCAAAAGAAAGTGAACAATTATTGTTAGTCGTTGATGCAGGCTGTGTCTTAGTACTGCTCTGATGCTGTCAGGATAACTACAAACCGCACATTTTAATAAAAATATGCTTTAAGCTTCGTTCTGACTTGTAAAGTAACAGCTCATGATGTTCAAAATGCCAAAAATTTTTCAGACGAAGAATATGCAGATATGTATTCCGTTGATGGTTTTTGTGCGAGAAATTCTGGAGCTGCTGTTATAGAATGTCGCCAAAAATTTCTTAATAGAATCTGCATTACATATAGTACAGTGTATCACATAGATAAATCTACGGTTATATGACATTGTCGCCTTATATTTAGTTGCAGAATACACTGGCGAATATTATACGGAATTTTGAGGGGCACATTGTATAGTGATTTTTACAGATATATAATTATTTCCTCCATACAATTTAATATACAAACAGGTATTTTTCAATAATTATTGATTCGAATTTCTGAAATGAGATAGAAATATTATTATTAAAAAAATAT